GCACCTTAGTTGCTCAAGGAAACTTCATGATAGCAGCCTGGAGGAGCTGCAGAGGATCCTGGTAGTGAAGCCCGGAAGAACCTAAGGATATTAGGGTAGTGAACTTCCAGAGGTGGAAGGGGAAGTTCTGGTGGATTACTTATAGGGAGTTGATAGTGTTTGGTTGTCATTAGCGTGCAAGACGCAGTGAGAGGTGAGTGACTGTTTGCATTCTTATGTCAAGGAGTTTTTATACTGAAGTTTAGAGTTACAGTCGTAGGCTGGATTACCTACAGATGTATGCGTTCTGGGACTGATATTGATCAATTAATCATTGTTGTGTATCAATGAACATTTGTACTGATATATGTTATTGCATTCAAATGCTGGTTTTCTATATGTACATTATCTTGCTGATAGTGCAACAGTGTATGTAGGCTTGATCAACTTGAGGAGGTTGATAGTATCAGGTGGTGAACCAGGAGATAGGATACCACTTGATAAGCTGATAATAGAGTTCTGATGGTGTTGGAGTGCAACCTGATTGTGATATTATAGAGTATAGGATTCATTATTATTATATGTGTGTATGTATCGTGTATGTGCTTTGTCCAGTAAATGTGTCACAATTTGCTGGTGTTTGCCCTTGTCCTAGTGAGGCTTCCCAGGAGGTAGTAAAGAAGGAGAGAGAGAGAGAGAAAGAACCAAGAACCACTGCCGTGGACAGGGTAGGAGGTAATACTAGTAAGTCATAGGGGATTGAGGAGATCATATCTCATAAGGAGAGAGTGGGGAGTCACAGCGGCTCGAGTGGGTGTGTGCACGTGACAACGAGGCTAAGTGTTGGAGCCGCATCCCCTAAACGTGTGACGTTGAGCCCCTCTCCAAGAGCCAGAAGCGCCAAGGGTGATCTCCTAGTATAAGCACTCTGCCGAGTTGTGGGTTGGGTTGTCCATAGAGAAGGATCAACGACGACAACACCAACCAACCCACAGTCTATAATATATATATATGTATATATATATATGTATATATATATATATATATATATATATATATATATATATATATATATATATATATATATATATATATATATGTCGTACCTAGTAGCCAGAACTCACTTCTTAGCCTACTATGCGAGGCCCGATTTGCCTAATAAGCCAAGTTTTACTGAATTAATATATTTTCTCTAATTTTTTTCTTATGAAATGATAAAGCTACCTATTTCATTATGTATGAGGTCAATTTTTTTTTATTGGAGTTAAAATTAACGTAGATATATGACCGAACCTAACCAACCCTACCTAACCTAACCTAACCTATCTTTATAGGTTAGGTTAGGTTAGGTAGCCGAAAACGTTAGGTTAGGTTAGGTTAGGTAGGTTAGGTTGTCGAAAAAACATTAATTCATGAAAACTAGGCTTATTAGGCAAATCGGGCCTTGCATAGTAGGCTCAGAAGTGAGTTCTGGCTACTAGGTACGACATATATATATATATATATATATATATATATATATATATATATATATATATATATATATATATATATATATATATATATATATATATATATATATATATATATATATATTGGAAGCAGTCTTTCCTGTAGACATATATTATTAAATATGATCGAAAAAGTAAGATTAATAATTCTAACACGAATTTTCTCTATCTTTCTTACATTTCTTTTCACTGTTGATGGTAATTCAAAGATCAATTCTCCAAAATTCATTTTTATTTCTAGTCTGACGCGACACTTGAGCGCGTTTCGTAAAACTTATTACATTTTCAAAGACTTTAGTTTACAAACACACGACTGAAACTGAATAGAGCTTTACACATCTTCGAGGTTTATATCTACATTTGGGTGAGGTGGATGAGGTGAAAAACGAACTTTCAACAATGGGTATTCAATGGGTATTAAATTCCAACACAAGACAGAACACGAAACAATGGGTATTGAATGGGTATTAAATTCAAACACAAGACAGAACACGAAACAAATGGTATTGAATGGAAGTAATTGTAGAAAGCCTATTGGTCCATATTTCTTGATGCTTCTATATTGGAGCGGAGTCTTGAAGTGGGTAGAATATAGTTGCGCATTAATTGGCTGTTGATTGCTGGTGTTGACTTCTTGATGTGTAGTGCCTCGCAGACGTCCAGCCGTCTGCTATCGCTGTATCTATCGATGATTTCTTTGTTGTTTGCTAGGATTTCTCTGGTGATGGTTTGTTTGTGGGAAGAGATTATATGTTCCTTAATGGAGCCGTGTTGCTTATGCATCGTTAAACGCCTGGAAAGAGATGTTGTGTCTTACCTATATACTGGGTTTTTTGAGGCTTACAGTCCCCAAGAGGGCATTTGAAGGCATAGACGACGTTGGTCTCTTTTAAAGCGTTCTGCTTTGTGTCTGGAGACACAAGACAAAAGAGACCAACGTCGTCTATGTCTATGCTATATATATAAATGTGTACAAAGAAAATCAGCATGTGAATGCAATAACATATATCAGTATAAATGTTCCTTGATACACAACAATGATCAATCGATCACTCTATCAGTCCTAGAACACATACATCTGTAGGTAATCCAGCCTACGATTGTAACTCTAAACTTCAGTATAAAACAATCCTTGACATAAGAATGCAAACAATCTCTCACCTCTTACTGCGTCTTGCACGCTAATGACAAACAAACACTATCAACTCCCTACAAGTAATCCACCAGAACTTCCCTTCCACATCTGGAAGTTCACTACCCTGATATCTTTAGGTTCTTCCGGGCTTAACTACCAGTATCCTCTTCAGCTCCTCCAGGCTGCTACCATGAAGTTTCTTTTCACAACTACAGTGCTTCAACCTTCTGCTAGGTTCCTCCACAGATCTCTTGGCTGCTACACTATGAAGTTCCCTCGAGCAACTATGGTGCTTCACCACCTCTACAGAAGCACATGACACCCCTCTTCACTGCTTCTCCTCACAGCTCGAGGTCCTCTGATCCACTACCTTGGAGTCTCATCAACTACTCCTTTTGTGCTGGCTTCGAAGTTCTCAGCAACTTCTTCCCCAATGACAAACCACAGATTGTCTAGTCGAGGGCGCTCCTCCCTCTGACGGAGCCTGGTCAGGGCGCTTCCACAGCCCACGAAAATGTCTCTGGGCGGCTTAATACTCTCCTCGTCGACCAGGACTTGAGACCACAACGTTCCCAGCTCGATTCTACAGCTGGCACGTCTGCATACTTCTCTTCTCTTGGAGATATATCACCCTGGGTTCCTTTCTGACAGGAGCTCAACGGAGCGCGGCTTTTCCCCTGCGATGTCTGGCCTCAAGTGAGGTCAAAGCCCTCCAGAAGCGAGCCTCACGCCTCCAGCAAATTATCCACATCTCCTAACCAGTCATTTATCTGTTTCCTTATGCACTGCCTATAATCTTAAACTCCGTGTAAAATTTACCCAGTTATTTTTACATATGAATCTTCATGTTTGTATTTCCGACCTCCTAGTCAGGTCAGGCTTGATAGAATAATTCTCAAAGGGGAGACTCGTTTTTCGGCTACCTGGGATCATAACAGTGGGTACTGAAAATTTAGTCAGCTTGTTGTAGAGATGCATCCTTAGGAGGTTCAGTAATTCGACCCTTTGGAGGGGGGATCTCAATATAAGCCTATCATGCATATATATACACTCCGGCTGCCTGTCCCCGAGACAATGAATTATTATTATTTATTACATACATATTAGGCCTCTATCGAGGTTCCCTCCCCCCCTTTCACAGGATGCAGCCTCACAACAAGCTGACTAACTCCTGGGTATCTATACTTACTGCTAGGTGAACAGAGGCTTTAGGTGATAGTAAATGCTTCAAGTATGTTTGTCTTATCCAGGATCATCACTTACTCTCATATTTAGAGTTCACCAGCGTTTATTTACTTAATAACTACTGGGATAACATCTTGCACTGCTAAATCCAATTATAATTTCATAAAAAAATCAATATTTGTTACAAGTTACAAGCAGCAAATGCATATATAGCTAATATGAAGGACATCTTCTTGGTGGGATTTACCAGCAGAAATGTTTGTTTATTTATTAAATTTCGATCCTCAGGTTGTTGCAACCTGCTCCAGCACAAGACAGCACATATATGACTTATTGCTTATAGTCACTATTTCGCTTATAAATAAGTACATATGTGACATATTCCAGGCCATATTTTTTTCAAGGCACTAACTTTTATTCTGTTTTATTAAAAAATAGACGTTTTATACAAAATTTGACAATATCCTGAGCTACTTTACAATTTATTTAAATATTTTGTTTTTTTTTTATTATTTTTATAAAACTGTAATATCATTATAGGTAAAAGTTCAGTACTAATTGATATATCATAACATACTAAGAAGGTTAGGTTAGGTTGTGGTTTTCTAATCAGCATTTCAAGGTAAACTCAAATATTCACAATAAATTAGTATGTCACATATGCACTTATTCATAAACAAGATATTGATTATAAGCAAGTGCGAGAACGGATTGGGTTTGTGTGGTATAGACTAACTAGTTATATAGAGTTTATGTAAAGCTATGACTGGTCTGGAGGTGTCGTAGCTTGAGGCGGTGTTCTTAGAATATCATCATTCTTAAATGTCTTCCTCAATCCCAATGTAGCTGCCACGTCGATTGAAAGAACGTAAACTAAGTACTTGCGTAAATGCTTCGTGAATCTGGCCCCAGGTTATATAATTTGTTGCATATCATGATCCATGAGAAAAGGTGAGAAAGTGGGATGACCTATCATGCTGGTTCAATCCTGCTGTATTGCTCAAATGGCTTTCTCTTAATAAATATTTCTTATGGGTTCTTCACAAAATTCCATATTTTTAATGTAGTAAAATAGTTTGTGTAAATTCATATAAAGTCAAGATAATTTTATTTCGTTTTCAAATTTAATGAACTTTGGCCTTAATTTTCCTTTTGAATAAATGTATTCTAAAACTTTTTCCCGTCAACAGCTGCGGCAGGTGTCGTGGTGCGTGACGGTGGTGGTGGTGAGCGACGACCTCGCCTTCCTCGCCGCCTTCGCCCAGTGGTCCCTCAAGGGCCGCTTGGTGGGTCCAGCAACCAGGCTCCTCGCTGTCACCAACGCTTCCTTGGTCAATAATCCTGACCTCAGCAGGACCTACTCCAAGATGAACGCTGTGATGCTCGTCGTTGAAGATTACCAGGAATCTCGACAGTAATAAATTTGTTATCGATATTTGTTTTAAATAATAAAGCAGCCCATGAATGTGTCTCCTGTACTGCCTGTTGTGATAATCAACTACACTTCATTCGACTCAACAATAACTCAACTCAACATACAACATTTGATGTGTTCTGATTACCATCACACAGGTGTGGAGTATACCTACACCTTCCGTACAGTCCCCGGGGCGCCCAGGCGCTGAAGGTGGCCTCCTGGACGCCCCACCAAGGCCTCGCTCTCACCTCCAGCCTCCCGCTCTTCCCCGACAAGTTCTCCAAGTGGGTACTTAAAAAAAACACTCATTGTTAGCAAATGTGTTGTAACATAATTATTATATTTAGATAAATTCAATGTCCACCTAGTGGAGGAGTAAACATTCCTGACTATATTGTTTTATGTTACAAAAAGTTCGTCTTGGCACTAGAAGGTTGCTACAAGGTGAAGGAAACATTGTGTGAGGTCAGACTTACAAACTTATTTGGAGAGATAGATCACTTGCATCGGACTATCGCCCATGTAAGATTTTTTTCTTTGACTTTTACTTGATCAAAAGAACTATTTCCTTTTGATGTTCCGTTAATGTAACTACCTCGCATGAGATGCAGACTTCAAACAGAAAGAACTGCTTACAACAGATATTTAACTTAAAGCATGAGACCAATAGGAAAAGCGGGAGTAAACCGCCAGGCTTCACCACACAGGTGAAACTTGTCCACTTAAGTCGTTGGCTCCTCCAGGTAAAAACTAATAAAGGGTAGCCGACGGGAACTCCGAATTTCATTGAAGTGTGGTGCTATGAATTGGACTCTAACTTTTAGGAACAGACTTAATTTACACATAGGCATGCAAGGCGTTGCAGAACATGAAAAGTGGGACAATAATGTGGCGGGATTGAACTAAACGACCGTTTCTAGAATAATAACAAATTTATTCAATAAAACTAGAACTACTACAGCAACGAGTTTACGTTACTTTACTGTCTACCCCAGTGGCACATTTAAGAACAGCTGTTCAACAGCCTGATGGACCCACGGGATCCTTCCCGTTGTCGCTGACTGAATAATGACACTAACTGAACAGAGTGGTGCCCACTTGTGATGCAAGCTTGCAATCAATATATGTCACGGCCCTCACAGTGAGCAAATACTATAATAAAAAAAACTTGAATGGCTCTCGCCACCCTCCCAGCGAGGTACCAAGCTTTTATTATTATTATTATTATTATTATTTATAAAAGTACAATATACACAATAAAAAATATACAAAGCCTGACAAAGTACATAGTAAATAACCCAAAGAACTCTTAAGACAACAAGCATTATACAGAAACAAATGCAAGAGCATGAAGACACTTTTTTTTTGCACAAGAATACAACATAAAAAAGAAATCCAATCATGCATAACACAAGATCCACATGAGTAACACAGAGAACACAAAGGCAAACACAGAGCAGCTACACATAATAAGCCAGTGGCACAAAAAAAAAATTAAAATAACACAAGGGAAAATAATACATGAAGCATGACAGATAAAAGTACCCAAAAGGGCCACACACACAAGGCATAAGCCCACACAAACAGGAGCATAGCACCACGCAGGAACCGGTGGAACAAATGAAAAGATACACACGCATACACACCACAACACAAGGACCTGCGCACACAGGAGTCGGACGCAACAAAACGCCCACACACACAAACAGGATGAAACACCAGAACGCACGGGAACTGGGAAACAAGGTCCAGAACCACAGCCAAGCACACAAAAAAAAACATCGGAACATGCAGGATCCAGCAAAGGAACACAAAACACACACAAACCCAAACAACAAGGACACACACGCAAGGAGCAACACAAAAGCACAGCGCAGGCAAACACACACAACTCACCGCTGAGGAAGCCCTCAGGGGGCAGGGGGAATACACACAACCCAAACGCCCAAATGACCCAACAAGCCCTCCCCCCAAATCCATCGACACCACACCAAAACACTAATCAAACCCCCGACTCCCCACCAACCCCAAAGCATCACCCTGAACATACACGTCAGTGAACCAATCAGCAAACCTCACCAGAAAAGCACGCAGCAACCACCACCATGTGAAACGCAAAGGCCCCGCAGGAAACCCAGAATCCGGGGAACCCCGTAGCCCTCCAAACGCCCAACCCACACGCAAAACACATAATCCGCAATCAAGACACTCAGGGTGTTCCGAAGCCACCCGGAGCCCTGAGGAAATGAAAGAAACAGGAACTGTAAAACATCCCTCCAAAACCCGGGCCCACAGAACACAGCAATCAAGCAATTAAACCCTGTACCCTCTCACAAAAATAAAACACATGTAACTTCGTCTCAACCAATCCACAATGTGCACACGTCGCGGAAGAACGCAACCCAAGCATACTCAAACAATCATTCGACGGCAAGGACTCGTGCAGCATACGAAAGAGAAACTCCCGCTGCTGCGGAGCCAAATGCCGCCCTTGAGGTACCAAGTAACAAGGCGGGTTATCCCAGCACGGATGACACCCTCTATAAAATCTTACGTTAACACTGGTCTCTAAAGACACAAACAACAATAAAAGTTACACTAATTGAGTTTACGTTAATCGACCGTACATAGCGGTCAGCATCAATTCAATTTACGTTTACACACTCGTGTCTCAACGACACTCAAATGGCAACAATAAATCGTAAGCCCATTAATTACATCACACTTGAGACGTCAAGCATTCGGTGAGTAATTCCCAATTAATTACTGTCACTCCAACAGCCTGCTATTTCAGACGAGTATTGATAGACACTGCTGTCACCCAACTGACAGGTCTCTTCCAGTATTACGGCAAGATTACGTTAACGAGGGTTCTACTACTCTACTTACACAAGGCTAGACAACACCCCTGTATAAATAAAACATCAACACCGTGTGAATTCACCTAATCTGCTAATTCCCTTATTCCGCTTACTAGTGCTTAATCCCCCTGTCCGTAGACAGATACGATCAGTCCAATGAATTATGACAGCTTAATTGACTTCGACCAGCACAGGACAGTCAACCCCTTTACGTTAATCAATCACTTAATTAAAGACAGCTCGTTAATCCGTTAACTCTACGTTAGTCGCCCTATCGACAATTCCTCCACTGTGTGAACTCACTGTGCCTGTTGCAATTACACCAATTTACGTTATTCACAACGATGATCAACAACACATCAATGCCCTCTCTACGCAATCATGGTCCCCATTGACGTTAATGACTTTAATTCTCAAGGAATCCATCACATTTACACAACGCATTACATCAAGGACACAACTGTCTACAGTTTACACACCACGTTACAACACGGTACAACCTTTTCTGCCAACGGCACCTGCAAAACACTTCCCCGAGTAAATTATAACAATAATAATTCACAGCTGGATTGCTGGCCTGGCCGCCAGTGGGGTCTAGACGTGTTGGCCAAGCGCTCACCAGTCGTTGCTAGGCATTCCGTGTGGGAGGGTGTTGTTGTTGCGTCGGCGCCATGGGGAACCCCCTCCCCCCTATTCGCCGCTCTGAGACCGTGGGTCTGGAGTTTTCTGGACGTGCGTCGTACCTGGCCCTTGAGATTGTCCTGTTGGATATGCTTCGTGTTCGTGATGCCGATGTGTATGGGCTCCAACTGCTGACCAACCATCGGGCACTTGTGAAGTTTAACTCCACTGCTGTCTATACGGACTTCGTGGCCCGTTACGATGGGCGCTCTCTTCCTCTCCCTGGGGACGGTGGTACATTCACTATTTCTGACCGGTGCCGCTCATTAACGTATGTAGCCCTGTATGGTGTGCCATTTGGATTTATGGAGGCCTTGCTTCGACAGCACTTTGGCCGTTTTGGGACTGCAGTTTCCATCTGGATGAACTCTGTCTCTTCGGGCAGGTGGCGTGGGATCTCGTGTGGGACCCGAACTCTCGGCCTGCAGTTCAAGTCTCTTGTTCCCTCCACGGTAACCTTGATGGGCTACACTATGCAGGCGTTCTACGCAGGACAGCCTCGACAATGTTTTCGTTGTGGCCTTGAAGGGGCACAGGCAGCTGTTTGTACTGGGGTGCCGGCTGCTACTGTTAATTTATTTAGAGAAGAGGACTTCCCTCCGTTGGTGGTGCAGGATGTGTCGACTGGTATTGGAGTGGGTGGGGAGGTTTCGCCGCCGCCAGCTGGCGGGGAAACCACCACCACCAGGCCTGCTGGCCTAGTGGTGGTCCTGGGATCATCGGCTGGTGGGCCGATGGGTACGTGTGGTGGTGCTCGTGACGAGGTGGTGGTGTGTGCGGTCCCGCCCCTGCGGTCATCCTCTACGCTTCCGCGAGATTCTTCGCCTGTGCGGGCCTCTTCTCCTTTGGCCGTGTCATCGTCGTCGCGGGCTCCTTCGGCTGTGCGGGTCCCTTCTCTTCCACCAGTCGCGCCTGTGGATTCTCCGGTTCCGGTGGGTGGTAGCCTCATCCCGGCGTCGTTGAGGCTGATTTTCTGTGCGGTCGTGCTACCTCGGTTGTGGGGAAGCCGGCCGAAGGGTCTTCTCGGGTCACACCTGTAGGGGGTGACAGCTCCGACGATCAGCGGCCTGTCCCTAAGCGTTCTCGCCAGGATAGGGATAGGTCGCCTCCCCATGCATGGGCTGATGAATGCGACGATGTGGGTGGCCCAGTGCTGCCTCCTGGGTTGGGTCTTGCGCCTCCTGCTGGTGGCTCCTCGCCGTGGGTGGCTGCCCCTGGTGACCGTGGCCATTTGATGGTATTGACGAAAGATGTGCGCCGGGGGGGGCCTCTGCTCCTGTTCCAGGTGGTGAGGGACATGGCGCGTTTGATGGTGCCCCGTGTGGGGCTATGTGTGGCGTCCAACGTGGGACCTGGTGTGCAAACTGGTGTGGGGCCCTGTGCGCTACCCGGTGTGCTATCCGAATATCACCGATTCCTCTCTTCCTGGATACCGGATTCTTTCATCCCATGGTCCCAGGATGAAGGCACGACGATCGAGAATGGTTTTTGTGTCGTTGCAGGCGGTATTTCGGGTGCTTGGCCTAGCGCGAGAAATTACGTCTTCCTCTAGCAACGTCCACTGTAATGAATCATCTTGGTGCCAAAAGAGGGCCCTAGGTGCTCATGGGGTACCCTCGGCTCCTTCCACCAATCACGGCTAAGCATCTCAGGAGGCCTGGAGCCTTAGCCACTCACGCTCCGCCAAGACGACACTATGCCCCTTTTCACCAGGGAATCGCGTGAACAGGGGGGTCTACCTAGAACCGTTAACCCCCAAACCCGCCTCACTACACTTGAAGTGGTCCAGAAAATCAACAGAAATCAACTCTCTGCTCTAACTTTTCCCACAGACCTGATACAGCAATCACAATAGCATGAATGACGAGTACTCGTCGAGGGCTTCCTAAAGACTCCTCACACGGCTATGAGAAAGTTGTAATTCGCAATCTGGTTCTATGGTGCACACGCACCTGTGCACAGGGACTGTGCACTCAGATTGCGCACCCATTCAGTGCACAAGGGAGCTGGAGAATTCATCTCCTGACAGCTCATTTCTCTTATCTATTGTAAGAAAACTGCTTGAATCGTTAATTTCGAAGACCATTGTTTTTCATTAAGAAAAACAGTTTCAAAAAAGGATTTTTTATTTTACTACACGAAAATATTGAATGGTGATATGAAAGAGAGGAATGGGGTTATCCTAAGTTGAATTAGGGCTTGGTAATTTTAAAAAGAATCAAGAGTTAGCATGAATGAAATACATTCCGAGCTGGAATGCGTTGTATATGGTGAAGCTGTGTCCCCAGGCTCTTGTAAAGGACTTATCCTATTTACCAGTTATATAAATGATTTAGAGAAGATTTAGAAGCTATATTTAGAAGC